GTTGGGGTGGTTTGGTGGGTGGCAACGTCGCCCGCGGGATCCTCCTCCTGGCGAGCAGGGCTCTCCTCTCGCGGAGCAACTTCTCCTCCTAGCGGACCGGGGCGGGGAGCCTAGCCTCCGACGCGGCGAACCCCGCAGCCTCGTCCACAACGCTGCGACCTGTGACCATAAATCTGGGCGCCCGCTGGCGCACCACGTAGGAGGAGGAGGAGGAGGAGGAGGAGGAGGAGGAGGAGGAGGAGGAGGAGGAGGAGGAGGAGGAGGGGGAGGAGGGGGGGAGGAGGAGCAGTAGGAGGAGGAGGAGGAGGAGGAGGAGGAGGAGGAAGGAGGAGGAGGAGGAGGAGCAGGAGGAGGAGGAGGAGAAGGAGGAGGAGGAGGAGGAGCAGGAGGTGGAGGAGCAGGAGGAGGAGGAGGAGGGGGAGTCGACAACAAAAAGACACTGATGCATCTGTCAGGGGCAGCGGCGACCAGCAACCCGATGCGTGCCCACAAGTCCCCGTCGGTTCCCGACGGCTTGAGGTACTTCTGGGAGAACCATCCTTGGGCGGCAAGCTGGCGCCCGTCAACGGTGGCTGTACGACCGCAATGGCTGAAACAATCCCAGAACCCGAGATGATAGGACTCGCAAAGAGTGAGCCCGCAGACGACCACGGGCCCTGGGACCGAAGCCCTAACATCTCTGGGCCACTTTTGAGCCCCATCGGACGAGACGTCCGAAACACAGAAATCAAAGAGTTTGCCCCAGGTCGGAACATCTCCGCACCTTGAACAACGGCAACGCTTCCCACACTTGGAGATGATGGGGGAGGAGAGGAGGAGGAGGGCGAGGAGGACGAGGAGGAGGACGAGAGGGAGGACGAGGAGGAGAAGGCGGAGGAGATGAGGAGGGTGCGGAGGCGGAAGGCAGGCGGGCAAACGCCCCCCGATGACTGCACGGGGGTTGGGGGCGGGGCCTGGAACTGCCGATCCGACCCCGCCCAGGCAGAGGAGAGCAGCCGACACAATCAGAAAGGTCGGTCGACGGGAGCCGTACTCCCTCTCCCCTCCTCTCATGACATTCAAGGAACACTTGCTGAAAGAAAACGGTCCTGGATCTTCGCTCGCCATTGTGGCCCCCTGGGGCCCTCCACGGGCACCGTGACCGTTAAAGAGCCGGTCTTTGGAAAATTCCAGGGGGTCTTCCCTTCCCAAACAGTGCTTTCACTTAGGGGTTCTTGCTTGACTTGTAAGAAACGAAGCCTGCGCGTCGGCCTGGCGGCTACGTGGTCGCCGTCGCCGCCACGTCGCCGCCTCGTAGCCGCCCGTCGTCTGAGCCTTCGCGTCGGTCTGGCCGCGGTGGTCGCCGTCGCCACGTCCGACGCCTTGTGGTCGCCGTCGCCGCCCCGTCGCCGCCTCGTCGCCGCCCGTCGTCTGCGCTCCAGTGTCGGGTCCGCGGCCTTGTGGTCGCCGTCGCCGCCCCGTCGCCGCCTCGCCGTAGCCCGTTGTTTTGCATTGCATTGCTTTGCGATGATTCTGCGCCACGTAGATTGCGCCACATGGACTGCATGGCCTGGATTGCACCACACTGAATGCTCCACGCAGGCATCGCCGCACAGACTGCAAGACATCACTGTTTGGGGTCCACGCTGGCTAACATGGCAGTCCTCTGCTTTCCTCCTCTGGAGGCCTCCCAAATTGCTTGAGAAGTTTGTTGGGGGCTCGGAAGATCGCGCCACATCGCCGATGACTCGGCGGTGCGGCGCGATCCTCCGACCTCATCTGCTCCGGTCCCATCTGGATGGCCTGGATCCTCCTCCGCCTTTCGGCGGCCAGCCCGTGGGGGAAGTGAAAAGCGGGCGGGTCTTCCCAGAAGGCTCGGAGGCCCTCTGGCCTCCCGACGAGTGTTCTAAGCCACGCAGCAAACTTCTCAGAAGGCCGGAGAGCTTGTGAGAAGCACCGCCGCCTGCTATGAAGGCCTCATCCGTCTCACTGCCCCCATCGCTCGCCGCCGACCCTTTCTGCCTCCTCGCTGCTCCTCCCACGAGGGGTGCGTCGAGCGGGAGAAGCTCGACTGCGCAGCACGGGCTCGCGCCACCCGGCGTCTGTTTTCCCCCGCGAGCCGAGCACACCGGGTGCGCCGCACCGCCGCGCACGGGGAGGCCAGAGGGTGGGCGAGGGAGTTTTCGGCCTCAGAGGGCATCGGACGAAGGACTCGGTTAGAGAAACAACAAGCGGCGTAGACACAAGCTTTTGGAGTTCCGCGCGGAACTTGAGCAAGTCATGTTCATGCAATTCGCTGGTCTTCGATGGATGCTTCCTCCTGCTCTTCCCTTCCCCTTCTGCGGGGGTCTTTCGATTGGCTCTGTGCGATGTTCTGTCCAGGCGATCAAGGCACTTTGTGCCTGGCTGTGGGCAAACTTCAACGCCTTCACCTTCCTGTCAGAACTCAGCTGCCTGAGCTACTCGTTGTCCGAAACCAACCGACCGACCTGCTCCTCCGTCTCCTCCTCCCCCGCTTGTCGATCCCCGAAGCGAGTACTTCTCTGCACTGAGCAGGCACGGGAAATTGGCGGGTCGGCGGATTCAAGGCTAATTGCGGCTTCCAGTCGGAAAGAACCCCAAGCTTGGCACATATTTAGTCTCGCAGCTGGCTCCCGCTTGAGCTGGGGAGATGAAGAGGAGGGCGGCATGACGAAAGGACCCACTAGATAGCAGAGGTAACGACGGAAGAAAAACATAGGCGATACATGGTTTTCCGTTTTGAGTGGGGTAGATGGGGATATGGTCACTTTCAGAAATGAGAGCTGAGTGGGGGAAGGGTCCTATGGCAAATTCGTGTCGTGACGGCCCCGGCATTGGTTTCTGACACCCCGTGGATCGTCCGACTTGGAAAGATCGGCGGCTTCTCGATCGCAGACCGTTCCGCATCGCCCGACGTTTGGACACTTGCGGCGTTCAACCTGGACGCCTGCGCGGGGCCGCCGCCACGTCGACTCGGCGCACCCCTGCCGCAGGAGAAGGCCAGGGGAGGGGCAGCGAAGGCTTGGGACGCCAAAACGAAGGGGCCCTGGGACACACAAATAAATACACACAAATAGGCCCAACGGGCCAGAGGCGTGCTAAGATCTCCGGTAACTGGTTCACAATTCTTCTAGTTCGGGCGCGCGGGGCGGCCCCTGGGGGTCCCCCGGCGAAAAATACCCCGACCGCAGCCCAGGAAGGTCCAGGGAAGGTCCCGGAAGGTCCCAGGAAGGTCTACTCAGAGATGGTTTTCCTCCTGGGTACGGCCTCTCAGGCCCCCCAGAGCGCGCCACGAGGGCCCCAAGAGGCCCCCAAGACTGCCCAAGAGGCCCCCGAGACGCCCAAAGGACGCTCCAAGACGCCGAAGATGATCCCAAGACGGCCCAAGAAGCCGCCAAGACGCTCCAAATGGCCTTCAAGAGGCCTCATAAGAGCGCCCCGAGAAGCCAAAATCATAATTTTTACGATGGTTTTGGAAGGATTTTGGCTTTGTCGCATTTTCGGCTTTCCGATGCTCCAAGACGGCCCAAGAGGCCCCCAAGAGCGCACGAAGACGGCTCAAGAGGCCCCCAAGAAGGCCCCCAGAGAGCCCAAACGGGCCCCGAGGCGGCCCAAGAGACGCCCAAGACGGCCCAAGAGAGCCCCAAGACGGCCCCAAGAGGAGCCCAAGATGGGGACCACGAACCGAAACCTCAAGCCTTCCGCCCCAAGAGGGCCCCAGGAGGCCCCGAGAGGCCCCCAAGATGGCCCAAGATGCCGCCAAGAGGCCTCCAAGAGACCCCAGGAGGCTCCAAGGAGGCTCAAAAGAGGCCCTACAAGGCTTCAAAAATGTCTCCCAGGCGCCCCCGAACGGCCTCTCAGTAGACCCCAGGGCCTCCCAAAGAAGCATCTGGACGACGGCCCTGTTTGGCCCCAAGAGCGCCGCAAGATGCCATCGAGAGGCTTCCTCCTCCGCCCTTTTCTCTTCCTCCTCCTCCTCATATTTATCTTCATCCTCCTCCGTTCCTTCTCATCCTTTTCTCCTCCTCCCCTCCCCCTCCCCATCCTCATCTTCCTCCTTCCGGCGGCGCCGAAATGGCCCCGTGCCCGCGCCGAAGCAATAGCGATCATGCAATACGGGCCAGCGGAGTGAGCGAAGCGATTGAATAAACCTTGCGGGGGTCTCTGCATTCCTGCACAAGCGGCTCCCAGAAGCCCCAAGATGCTCCCAAATGCTCCCAAAGGAGCTCCACGAAACCCCAAAGAGGCTCCAACAGCAACCCAAAAGGCCCCCAAGAAAGCCCCAACGAGGACCCCAAAAGGGCCCCGAAAACCCAAACGCCAGCGAGGGCACAATACGGGCCGGCGGAATGAGCGAAGCGATAAAATCAATACACGTAAATAAACAGATTCCCAGTGTTTTCCCATACTTTCTGGGTGTCTGTCTTCCCCCCCCACACTTCCCATATTTTCCCAGATTTTCCTGGGAATCGACGATTAATTGTGTCTGTGTCTTTTTTCCCTCCTGATAAAATGGGTACGGTACGGAGAAAATGGGTACGATGCCCAACAACAAATGTTGTCCAAACCTGATGGGACAAGAACGGGAAGCGCCGCTGTAAGTAAATGGGCGTATTGGGCGAAGAAGAAAAGGAAGGCGAGGACAACGAGGAGTCGATGACGAGGACGACGTGGCGAACGTGAGGATAGCAAGGAGGAGCATGAGGACAACGAGGAAGAGAAACACAAGGTTTGAACTCCGATCTGCTGCTCTGCTGCAATCCGAGTGGGCGCAACCCCTTTTGCTCCGACCAGCGTGCCGGCAGGCTCACGAGTCTCGGGCGCGGGCCGCCCGAGAGGCAGTAAAACCTGGGGCCCCAGGCTTGGGCCCACAGTGGTTGCGGGAGCACGGGAGAGGGGCAGAGGGAGAGCAAAGAGGAAAGGGATAGGCGGGTTGAGGCGAGCCTGGAAATCTTCACACGCCCTCAGAAGGAGACGCCGAAAACCGCCTGGCTGTCACCTCAATCTGCGATGTCCCGCATCTCATTCGCTCTCACGAGTTTGTCCTGCTGCCTCTTCTCCGTCTTCCTAGTGTCGATGGCGGTCTTGCGGCTAGCACGCTGCATACTCTTCTCCATCTTGATCGCCGCCGCCGCCGGGTCCTGCACCAGGCTCCACTTGGCCTCCCGCAGCACCTTGTAGAGGTAGACCTTGTCCACCCCAAGCTTCGTCAGCACATCTGCGATGTTCTGCGAGCCGTCAATCCACCTGAGGTGGGTGTTCTCGCAGCGCAGCACTTCTCTGAGCAAGGCGCCCTCGATCGCCATCCTCTCGTCCTTGCTCTTAGCCGAGCCCTCCTTCGTGAGGTGGTCGTAGACGGACTTTGCGTCTGTCGCCCAGAAGCGGGGGAGCCGCTGCACCTCCCCCTGCCAGTTGAGCAAATCCACCGAGACATTCGTAGCCTCTCTGAACAGCACTGCCGCCCAGTCGACGGCCTCCACTGCGTCTGCCAGGTGACTGGCCTCCGCCGCCGAGGTTGAGCGGCACACACGCTGCGCCATGCCGCTCTTCCAGTCCAGTACTGCCACCGGTGCTTGGTGTCCGGCCAGGATGCCGTCGGTCGTGAGGAGCGCCACGTGGCCACCGCAGCTCTTGTAGCGCTCAATGTCGTCGTGCTCCGGGCCGTTCGCGTGGCCCGCGTCCACGGCCGCGCCGATCACAGCGCTGGACAGCCTCAAGTTGGCCGGGTAGACCAGCGCGACCTCAGCGCCCTTCTTGGCCTCAGACACCGCCAGGTTCGCCTTCACCAGGTCCGCCACACACGGGGCCGCTCGGGCCCTCTGCAGCTCGCCCGAGAGGAAGGCCAGGTCGAGTCGGCACTGTCGACCTAGCCAGCCGATCTCACCAGATACCCTCAGCAGTTCCTTCGCCTCATCCTCGTTCAAGTCCTCCTGCAACTGCTTCCTTCGACCTGCTGGGATCTTGATCGGCTTGAGGGAAGTTGCGTAGTTCACCATCTTAACCAGAAAACCTCTCGAATCACTCGAAAGCTCGCGGCCGCGGAAGGTGAAGGGCAGCTCGCTCCACTTCCACTGGAACGTGCCCAGGACCTTCGGCAGGAGGTCCGACAGCTGCATGTCCTTCATCCTCGCCACCAGCACGTCGTCCACGTGCGAGACCGCGATGCCCTTCAGCTGCCCGTCTACGCGCTTGTAGAAGAGCGCCGGCTCCAGGCGCGACTGAAGCCAGCCGTCGGACAGCAAGGCGTCACGCAGCGCTAGCCAGAATAGCCTTGCTGCCTCCGCGAAGCCGTAGATGGCCTTGCGGGCCCTCAGCAACTGGCCCGGGGCAAGGCCAGGCAGGCCTCCCCGAGGCTGCTCCAGGTAGACCTCGCGTTGCAGGTTCTGCCCATTGAAGTAGGCGTTCTTGACATCGCCCAGGGAGAGGATCATGCCCATGGCCGCCGCCAGCGTCAGGAGCAGCGCCTCCGCCAGCCGTGATGCAGCGGGAGCGTCCCGCCTGAACATGCCCAGCAAGCGGTCGCGAAAGCCCACCACGACCAGGCGGCTCTTCGCGAGCAGCGGCAGAGGAGCTCCGGCCTCGTCGTACTTCCCGTCGTTCTTGTCGGCATCCACCCAGCGCATCGGGATGATGATGCTGGCCTTGTCCGCGAGGAGCGCCTCGCTCTCATCCGGCGGCATCGGCTCAGCCGCGTCGAAGTCCTGCCAGGATCGCCACTCTGCATCACGACTGCCACCTCGATCCATGAACATCCGGCGTTGCTCCTCAGGCAAGCTGCCGAGCTTGATCTCCTTCCTCCCAGGCTTCTTCGTCAGGAACGCGTGCTCGAACTCATTCCGCATCAGCCCGAAGATGAACTCCTCCTTGCCGATGCCCTCCTGGACGAAGAAAGCCTCGCCCTGCTGGTACGTCTCCAAGCCGGCCTCCATGAACTCATCCAGGTCATTGTCCAGCACGAACTTCGCCGAGTCGACAGATCCTGCAGTCCCCTGTCGGATCGAGACAGGGACATCGTCCAGCAGGCGCCGTCGCTTGGCCTCCCGCTCGCGGCGCTCCTCAGTCTCCTTTTCCTCCAGGAGACTCCAAGGACGCCGATGTCGAGAGGCCCCTGGCTCGGGCTCCGTGTGCACCCCGTGGGAGTCGGGGTGCCAGTCATCGTCGCCGTCGTCCCTCATGATCTCCTGCATCGCCGCGTCGAACTCCATCGCGTCGAAGTCCAGGTCGGGCGGCACGGGCACGTCCTCAGCCCCCACAGCTGGGGCTGGCGCCGCGGGCGGCTCGGGCGCGGCCGGAGCCGCGCGGGGAGCCTCCGCCTCAGGCGGGGCCGGATGCGCCTCCGGCTCAGGCGGAGCCGAGGCGGGCTGCGGCTCCTCCGGCACCTCCGCCCGCTGCCCGACGTCCATGCCGCTCTCGTCGCCCTGCTCAGCGGGCTCCTGCCCCGCCGCGGCGGGGGGCTTGGGCCGGCCTCGCAGGTCCACGAAGCCACTACCGCCGCTGATGGGCGCGTCGTGCACCAACTCCTGCTCCTGCGCAATCGATCTCCAGGCGTGGATCTCGTGGCCAGTCGCTGCAGCCAGGTGCTCCGGGCTCGCGAGCACGGTGAGGCCACGAAAAGCAAGCCGCACTCCATGCCGACCCTCATGTCCGATCACGCGCGCCAGCCCTCGCCAGTTGTCTGGATGCTCAGGTCGATGCTTGGCTGGCTGCGCTTGGTCGTAGAAAAGCACCCACTGGCCGACAACGAACGGCCCTCTCGTCGGTCGTATCTGTCGAAGCTCTGCTCGTCGAAGTCGATCCTCCGTGTCGGTCTGGATGAAAGCCATCCGGCACTGGGTCCTGATCTCCACCTTGCGGGCAAAACGCGAGCCCGGCGTAGCAGCTGCCACCTGCTCGCCCACACGCTCCACTTCGGCGTCGTCCGCAAGGCTCGCCGGGAGGCGAACATCCCGGCCGAGGACCCAGAGGTAGGGGCTGAAACCAGCCCGCCGGGCCAGCGTGTTTTTGGCCCTGTTGCACTCCGTCACTGCCGTTCTCATCTCCTCAAGGCCCGCCACCTGCTTGTCGTGCACCACCCTCGTGAGCATCGAGTTCCAGATGCCGTCGTGGCGCTCCATCTTGCCGATGTGCCACGGCGAGGCCAGAGCGGCCGAGTCTAGGCGCACGCCCTCCTGCTCCAGGTAGTCCGCGAACTCGCCCAGGAAGGACCGTGCGCGGTCCACCATGATCGCCTCCTCCGGCTGGCCAGCCCAGGAGACCCAGCAGAGCTCGTAGAACTTCCTGACCTCCGAGGCCTTGGGGTTCTTGTGAGTGTCCTCCAGCAGGCAGACCACGTGGAAGTTCGTCCCCATACACATAATGCCAAGGAGTTCCCAGTTGTTGCCGGCGCTGTCGACGTTCTCGAAGCAGTCCATCGCGAGCAGCACGTTAAACTCGTCGGCCCTCGGGAGCTGACTCGGACGTGGGATGCTGGGTCGCTGCGCTCGCCGGCAGCTCTCACAAACAAACAGCCTCGCTGCCTTCAGCGCCAGAGCCGTTGCCTTGCCCAGGCGCAACGCCCTGAGCAGCGCTGGCCGTCAGGGGTGCCCGAGGTTCACGTGCGCCCTCTCGATCGCCCTCTTGACGGCCCTCGGCAACAGCTCCCAACGTCGCTTCCTCTCCCGTGAGGCGCCCCGCTGCTGTGCTGCAGCCGGCCCCTCGGGCAGGTCGCCCCGCTCGTAGCCCGCGAAGTAGAAGACCACCACGTCGTTCTCGAGTAGATGTCGTGGCAACCAGCGCCGTCGTGCTTGCAGTGACTGTTGCGACCAGTCCTCGAAGTCTAGCCTGAAGAGCTGGTCGCCCTTGAGCGTCGTGACCATCCTGAGCGGGGCGTCCGCGGCGTGCAGCTGCGGCTGCGCCGTCTGGAGCCGCTGACCCCCGCGTCTAGCCTTCACCATCTTCAGCGGCTCGCTGATGACTCCTCCCAGCTCCTCCAGGAAGAGGTCCGAGCCCCAGATGATCGTCTCGACATCCTCGCCCATCTTCTCCAGTAACCTCCTATGCCAACTCCGAAATGCGTCCAGCTCAGCGCACAGCTCCACCGTCAGCAGCTCGAACTCGCCGTGCTGCGTACGCCGTCCCCGTCGGAAGCCCAGCGGGCGTCCGCCAGGAGGCACTCCGCGCTCGCGGCGAGCAGGCGCTCGGCCGCGCCTGGGCCTCACGGGCACCTCGGCCGGTGCCTCTGGGGCCTCCGCCGCCGCCTCGGCAGGCGGCGCGTCCTCTCCGAGAGGCGGGCCCTCCTGGTGCGCCTCCTCCGGCGCAGGCTCTCCCCGCGGCGGGCTCCGCGATCGCGGACGCTCGTGCGGGAAGCATCCTCCACAGGGAAGGCCGCATCCATGGCCAGCGAGCTGCGGTAGTCGATCTGCATCTGCTGGAGCACGCCGCGATTGAAGGCCTTCGCGAGGCCCGCGGGGTAGGCTGCCGCCTGCTGCGCCCGATAGCCACCCGAGTTCTTCCCGAGCAGCTGCTGGTGGGCGCCGGGCGGACAGGCACAGCGCTTGCTGAGGTGGTTCGCCACCGCTGCGCTGTTCGTGAGCCACCCCGTCGGCTTCTTGATCGGCTTGCTCGTGTCCTTGTCGCAGGCTCCGTAGGCACATTGATCTCCGCGCACAAACACAACGCCTTCCAAATCCCACAGACGTACCAGGATGCCGTCATGCGCCCAAGAAAGTGCTGTCAAAGGCTGCTCTATCAAGAAATACCGTCCTCTCGCATGCACGCATCGAGATGCCCGCCGAACGAGCAAAAGATAACGACGAGCACTCCTGCGGACCTCATCCCAGTCGATGAGCTTGTTCATGTTGGTCATCAGGGACCACGGATGACAGGGAAAAAGCCAACACTGTGATGTAAGGCCAGTGCAGGTCGAGGATCCGGTAGAGTAAGGCCCGTCCAGGGCCCTTGAGCAAGTCATAGTCGGGAGAGTGGTCCACGTCCAGCGGCTGAGACTGCATCCAACCGTATTCCTTTGCACCGTAGCGCGTCAGGATGTGCACCCCACCGAACGGCTCGAACACCGCCGTGGTCTGGAAGTCGGCGGTCACGAAACGCTCCGCCTCGAACCTCGGTCGAAGTAGCTCTTCTCGTAGTCGTCGATCCTCTCCGCGAAGCTCACGCCAGGTGGACTCGAGCTTCTTCCGAGTCGTCTTGGAGAGGATCCCTGTCGCGTCGGTGGCCAGCGCACCGCGATCCTTCGACAGGAAGGCGTGGCCAACCTCCTCCTCGACCCGGATCCCCTCGCCGTCGGACTCCTCGAAGACCGACTCCTTCTGCGCCTGCGCGTAGAAGAACTCCGAGTCCCTATTATTCGAGATCGCCGTCGCTGGTCCTGAACTCGAAGCTGCTGCCGATCGGTGACCATCATCGTCTCCCCAGTCATCAAGTCGCACTGCCAAGTGACCGCCCACCTTGAGCAGCTGCACGTCCACGGCGAGCGTCTGCAGATCCATCCGCATCTCCTTCAGGTGGAGCACGGCGCCCAGCGCCTCCTGCGACGCCAGGCTGACCAGGAGCGGGGTGTCGCAGTCCTCCATCTCCGCGCTGAAGATCACCCCGCGGCGGCCGCCAAGGGCGACCGGGATCTCGACCACGCGCCCCTCCTGCCTCTTGCCGAAGGCCGAGGAGAAGCTCCTCACGCGGTCCGTCATCTTGATCTCGAGGCCGCGGGGATGCAGGCACCTCTTCTCGAACAGCTCCCGCCAGTATTTGCCGTGCATACATCTTGTGCAACAGGTATCGATGAGCGCCGCTGGTACGTCAGACGTGTCACTGTCTTCACTCACCATAAGCACCATCTCCAAAAATCCTTCCCCGGGAACTGGGCGCGCGTGGCGCCCGCGAGGAGCCCCTCTGGGCCCCGGTGTGGAGTGTGCTCAGGCCGAAGACGGCGGTGGCCGCGCCTCGCGCAGCCTCTGCTCGCCCTCGTTGTAGTTCAGCGTGCCCTTGCAGTCCGGGAACTGACTGCACCCGAAGAACCAGCCGCCTGTCCGATGATTCTGGCGAGCCACCAGAGCCTTGGAGCACTTCGGGCACGGCAGCACCTCGTCGTCCTTCGTCGTTGGGAGGATCGTGCTGAGGCTGTCGCTGACCACGCTCGCACTGTCGCCAACATCGCTGCCCACGAGCTTGAAGGAGCCGAGGTCGGAGCCGCGGTCCGAGCTGACGAGGAAGGCCGAGTCGTACTCGACGTCGTCCAGCACGAAAAGGGTCGCGCCCTTCCGCTTCTTGGCGCTGGTGCTGCTCGATGGGCGAGGACTGCTGCCCGAAGCCGAGGGGCTGCTCCATGCCGGGCGCGAAAGCGCCGCTGCTCGTCCACGTGGATCAGCTCGACTCTTCGGCTTCGCCGTCGGCTTCGGCCTCTTCGGACCCATAGGGCACTCCGGGTCCCCGGCCCAGTGACGGAGCTTGCCGCACGCCCCGCAGTGCGTGCGCTGCTTGTCCTTCGCAATCTCCGCCTTGCGCTCCTCGAAGGTCAACGTGCCCTCCGCCTTGAAGAAGCCACGCTTCCGCTGGAGGTCTCGAATCTTGGCCCGAGCAGTGTCGTAGGCGGCGTACGCGTTGTTGATCGCCTCGTCCTGACTCGCGCCAGCGTCGCTGGCGATGTCCTCCTCGGCGTCACCGTCCTCGTAGGCCTCGTAGGCCTCGTCGTCGTAGTCCTCGTCCTGCTCGTCCTCCTCGTAGTCCACGTCGTCCGCCTCGGTGTAGTACACCCTCGTCTGCTTCTTGGACTTATCCTTGCCGCCCTTGCCTCCGCCCTTCGAGCGTCCATGAGGATGGGGCTGTGGCGGCCGGGAGGTCTTCTCCTGCAGGTGGAGGTCGTGGTAGTTCGTCTTCAGTGTGTTCTCGAAGGCCTTTATACTTATTGTCCGCCACCATCGTGACCAGTCTCTTCTGGTCGTCCGTCAGCATAGCCCCCTCAAGGAGGAAGTACGCGTAGAGATCGTCGCTGAGCTTCGTCCCCTCGTCCAGCTCTGTCGGCTCCTTGTACTTGTTGTGGAACGTCCTCAGGTACTCGACGATATCCTGGCCACGGCGGCGGCGGGACCTCTTGAAGAAATCATAGAACTTCTGCTGCTTACGCACCACCGCTACCTTGTCCAGGCCATCGAGAGCCTCGATGATCTTCTGATGCGAGCCGTCCTGGGTGAGCGCCGTGATGTTGTCCAGCAGGGGCTCCACCGCCTTCCACGCGCGGCCTGTGAGGCCCCGCGTCAGGCGCAAGCCCAGGTTCGCCCGCTTCTCCTTGCCAGCCTCCGTCGAGCTCGACTGTGTGCTGTACTCTATCATCACCCTCATTCTGTATTCTCGTAGAAGAGCTATGTTCTCGCCGTCCCAGTGCGGGATGCCCTCTTTGTCGACGAAGAGTTCCTCTGCGGACTCGTCCGTCATGCGGGCCATTGTCTCCGCCGTAGATCGTAAACCCAGCTCCGCGACCAGTTTGAATTCCGATCTGCTGCTCTGCTGCAATCCGAGTGGGCGCAACCCCTTTTGCTCCGACCAGCGTGCCGGCAGGCTCACGAGTCTCGGGCGCGGGCCGCCCGAGAGGCAGTAAAACCTGGGGCCCCAGGCTTGGGCCCACAGTGGTTGCGGGAGCACGGGAGAGGGGCAGAGGGAGAGTAAAGAGGAAAGGGATAGGCGGGTTGAGGCGAGCCTGGAAATCTTCACACAAGGACGAGGATGAAGAGAACGAGGGCGAGTACGAGGAGGAATGCGGAGGGCGATGATGACGACGACGACGACAGAGGACAGTACGAGGCAATTGGAGAAAGACGTTGCTCCTGGCGCCGCGCGGGGTTCTCTTGGGGCCTGTTGGGGGCTTCTTGGGGGCTTCTTGGGTCCTCTTATGGGCTTCTGGGGTCTTCTTGGGCTGTCTGGGCGCGTCGTGGGGTTCTGTGGGAGCTTTCTTAAGCCGTCTAGGCGCTGGGGGCCTCCTGGGACGCTGGGAGTCTCTTGGGGCCTTCTTGGCCCTTCTTGGGCCGTCTTGGGGTTCTTGTGAGCTGTCTGGGTGGCTCCTAGAGCGCTCTTGGGGATCTCTTGGTGTCTTCTTGGGGCGCTCTTGGGCGCTCCTGGGGCTCTCCGGGGCGTCTTTTGGGCCTCCCTTGGGCCGTTGGAAAGCACTCCAAGAGCGATTCGAACACGACGTCGATGCGGAGTCCCCTCTTAGGCCGATTTTTGGAGGATGTCTCGAGAGAAACGGCCATTTATCAAAAATCCGCCAGCGCAGTTTCCAAGTGCGGCGCGTACCCGATTATGAATTTTTACCACCAACAAACGGTCCACGCCAGGGGCGCTTCCCGTCATCCGACAGCGGCCGCTGTTGGGCAGGCGGCCTTCAATCTCAAATAGACGACGTCCGCGACGATGCCGACAACCAACCCTGTTCAAACGAGCAAAACATCTGTCGGTCCTCGTACCCATTCTGTCTGTAGGTGTTCCGATCGTACCGAGGTTGTGATGGGCGGTGTGCTGGCGGCGCGCGCAAGGGGGCAACCCAGATGGATCTTCAATGAACACCCTTCCTTACACTTGAAACTATTTTTCTGTGCGGGCTTATTGACGGAATGGGACCAACAGCAACATGGGGAACATACTACAGTACTTCGTCACCCGCGGCGGCCACTGCTGGGGTTCCAATGGGCCCCTAAAGGTCCTGCGAATCCTGTCGGTGTCCCATGGATTCGTAAGGGTCCAGAGAGGATTCGTGCGGACTCTTTGGGATTCTTGAGCTCCCCTTTGGACTCCGAGAACTTCCTCAAGATTCGTGAGAGGGCGAGGAGGGAGAGCAAGGGGGAGGTCGAGGAGGGGAGCATGAGGAGGAGGAGGCGAGGAGGAGGAGGAGGAGGAGGAGGCGAGGAGGAGGCCGAGGAGGGCAGGGACGAGGAGGGGGAGAACGAGTTTTATTGCCAGCCGAGAGCTTGGCGGGGCATCACTGAATACCCCTCTCGGTTAGGGGGAGGGGGGAAAGCCTCGCAGAAGGAGCCTGCTTTGGAGAAGGCGCCTGCCCCACACTTCTGAACAAGGCCCGCGCCCTGTAAGACCCAGGGGTGCTCCTAAGAAGCGTCCCTCCCTCTCCTATAATTACCCCCCTGTTGCGCGTGGCTGACTCTCCATCGCACCGAACTTGGGATGGGCGGGGTGGGGAGAAGGGCCCGAGGCCGCAGCGCGCATGCTGCCGCTGGCCCGCTCACCGCTCGCACCGCAGCGCGGCGCACCCTGGCGGCGACAGGGGGGGGGCCTGACCTCCCACCGTGCCCCGGCTCCTCCTTCCTCCTCCTCCTCCCTCCTCCTCCCTCCTCCTCCTCCTCCTCCTCCTCCTCCTCCTCCTCCTCCTCCTCCTCCTCCTCCTCATTCCTCCTCCTCGACGACCCTCTTCCTCCTCCTCTGCCTCCTCACTCCTCACCGCGCTCCGGCATCTTCCACGCCCAGACTCCGTGTTTCTGCATGGGACCTGCTCGCGGCTGCCGGCGCGGCCTGCCCTGAGCCAGCGGTAGGTAGGAGTGAGCCTGCAAGGCGGCCTGCTGCTCTCCCGCAGGCGGATCCCGCGCTGAGGGCATGGTCCTGCGAGGCCTCCTGACTGGGCCGCATGGAGCCGACGGGGGCATGCCTCCTGTAATCCTTGCCAACCCCACTGGCTAAACTGGCCAGACCATCTCGCGCGAGCGCATCTCGGAAGCCAGAATCGAGAGGAATGTCTCAGGCGAGAATGGCCGGGCCACATTGTCCGCGGCGTCGCTGATGTCGTAATTGCAAGAATCGCAAGCGGAACTAAGGCCAGAGTAGCGAGGATGTCTCATGCGAGCCTAGCTGGACCACTTCTCGGGCGGCACTTCCGAGCCCACAATTGGGAGAATGTCTCTGGCGAAACGAGCCAAACCACCGCGCGAGCGGCAGCTCCGAGGCCAAAGTTGCGAGGATGTCTCACGTGAGACTGCCGGGACCACCTGAGTTGAGGGCAACTCGGAGCCCAGAGTTGCGAGGAAGACTCAGACGACGCTGGCTGTGCACGCTACATATCCTAACCCAGAAATGCAAAAACGTTTCAGGCGAGACTGGCTGAGCCAACTTGTACACGGCACGATGCAGACGAACCTGGCTGGACCAGCTCAGGTAAGGTCGAAATCCAGAAATAAAACTCACGAAAATGCGAAGATCCTTCAGGCAATACCGGCCGCGCACGCTGCGTCTTCGAGCCCAATAGCACGAGGATGTCTCAAGCGAAACTGGCCAGACTACCTCTCGAGCGGCAATTGACGACGTCTCAGAAGGAACGATCTGGACTACCTCAGGTCAGGTGTTCTTGAACCCGGAGGTGCGAGGCTGTCTCACGCGAAATTGGCATGAACATGTAAAGCGGCGTCTCCGAACCCAGCGCTGCGACCCGCGGAGTTGTGAGGGCGTCCCCCCAGACGGCGCCGGCCAGAACACCTCGTGTCAGAGCAAATCGGCGCCCAAATTTCCGAGGGGCGTCTCAGGGAAGTCGGAATCAAACACCTCGGAAATCAGATCTCGGTGCCCTGATCGAGCCCGCCGGACCGGCCATGCTGTTTCCTGACAACAAGACGACAGACCCCGGACAACCCCTTGGACAACCCCACAAGGATCCGGACAACCCTCCCGGACAACCCCTCCTGGACAAGCCTCCCCAGGGTTTTTCCATACAGCATAGTAATATCAAAGACCACTTCCCAGTCTGTATCACCTCTGCGCTCTTGCAGATCACCGAAAGAGACGCAGCACTCGGAAGCAGCCGAAGAATGCCCCTCGCCAACTCCGAGCGCAACACTGTCGCACCTTA